CCAGTCTACAGCCCGAATAGGGAAGGAAGAACTACCATTATCTTCTGAGACACTGGGAGCCGGCGGTAAATCGTCAAGCTTGGTTACCGCCGGAAACTCAGCATGATGACTCAACAAAATCGTAGATCGTCCTCCACAACACAAGGCTCACTGCAGCAACGCGGGGCTTCGAGTGGATGCGGGCGTAGATGGACAAAAAAAAGGAACCCTTGACACCACGCCCCCTCTCCCCCCAATTTCAAAGTTGGCCTCAAGCATTTGGCAGCACAGGCGTGAGAGGGCAAAAAAAGTGGAAACCCCGGGGCCTCCGAGAGGCCGAACCCAACTTTGAAATCGGGGGAAGGGGGGGGGCGAATGCGGGGCCGAAGACGAAGGCGTTCCATTTGTTTGTCCCCTCACTGGGGCACCCCCTCACGGCACGCTCCCTGCGCAGCGCAGGCTCTGGGCGCCCCGCTGCGGCACCGAGCTCGGCCTGCCTGCCGAGCCCCCCGCTGGCCTTCGGTTCGGTTCGCTTCGCTGCGGGCCCAAGACGGCACGGGAGGCCCCCGAGATCGCCCCTGATCGCCTGAGATGAAGGGGCCCAAGGACACACAAATAAATACACACAAATAAAAGGATTCCCCAGATTTTCCTATATTTTCTGGGTTTCTGTCTTCCCCCCCACTTCCCATATTTCCCCATATTTTCTGAGGAATCGACGATTAATTGTGTCTGTGTGTTTTTTCCTCTCCTGATGAGAGGCCTCGAGGATAGCTCCACCACGGCCCACGAGGCCTCCTGGACGGCCCCAAGGGAGCCCCGGGACGGCCCAGGAGGCCTCCAGGACGCCGAAGATGGCCTCCAAGACGGCTCTGAAGCGCCCTCAGAGAGCCCCGGGTGGCCGCAAGATGTCTCCGAGGCGGGGCGGCCCAAGATGCTCCGAAGATGATCCAAGATGGCCTCAAGATGGCCCAAGGCGGCCCAGGAGGCTCCGAAGAGGCCTTCAAGACGGCTCTGAAGCGCCCCAAGAGGGCCCCAAGACGGCCAAGACAGGCCCCCCAATATGGCTTTCGACGGCGTCAGACGAGCCAGGAACGCTCGGAGACGGCCACAAAGGCACCCAAACGGCCTCCAAAGACTATCAAGAAGCCCAAGGAAGCTTCCAAGAGGTGTCCCAAAGGCCCCAAGGAAGCTCCGAGGAGGCTCCCAGAATGACCCAAAAGCTCCCACGAGATTTCCTCATCTTTCTCCTCCGTCTTATTGCTCCCTCTCCGCATTCCCTCTTGCCCTCCTCCGCCTTGTCCTCCTGTTCCTCCCTCTCCTCCTCTCCTTCTTCCCACCTAACTGTTCCCGCAAGACTTTCCACAACAGCTGGGGGAGCACGTAGTCCACTAGCTTGGCCAGACGGTGGCCCAACGTTTGAACACAAGTAAACTAATATTATTATACTTCATGATTTCTCGAACAAGAAACATGTCTTTTACGACCAGCCCTCATGTCAGGCGAGCCCAAAGACGGTCCTGGGAGGCCCCCAAGAACGGTAGATGAGACCAGACCGAATTCTTCTTTCACCCTCGCCCACGTGTTCCCCGAAGGCTTTCCAAACCGACTCGGGGAGCACCTTGTCCGACAGCTTGGCCAGGCTCTAACCCAACCTTCGGCCGCACAGGCGCTTCCCAGAAGGGAGGGGGCTGCGGTGATTCGCCGTAAGCGTCCTCGATCCGCCGCCCAATGTTGATCTATCGGCGGTGGACAAACCTCCCTTTGGCAAACCTCCCCTCAATGAAATCGGCCTGGGACCGAAACCGACGGACCTGGACCAGCAAAAATGACGGCCGCGACGCCCTCTCGCGAACCGAAAACGGCCAATTCCTTATGAGCGACGTGTTGGGAGGTCTGTCCACCTCCGAACTTACCACAGGGGGTGCCTGGCGTGCTATGTAAGGTTCAGCTGGCTTCTCGCTTTTTTCGAAAACTGCCCCTGGGGGCTTCGGCCCAGTGCGCCGGCCACCCGGAAGGAATCGGAAACAGCTCCAACGTCCGGCGAAGATCTCTCTCCCAGAACGGCTCGAGAGGGCCTCTGGGACGTCCAAGATGGCCCCAAGAGAGCCCCAAGGTGGCCCCAAGGTGGACCCAGGACGGTCCAAGATGCACTGAAAACGGCCAAAGATGGTCTCAAGATGGCCCAAGAGGCCCCCAAGCGGCCTCCAAGACGGTCCAAGAGGCCTCCAAAGTGGCCTCCAGGACGGCCCGAGGAGACATATATCATTGATTTCCCTTGGTTTTCTAAAGAAGTTTGGTATTTGCTTCTTTTCGGCTTTCCGACGGCCCGAGTGCTCAAGAGGCCCCAAAGATCTCCCTAAGATCGCCCAAGAGGCCTCCAAGATGGCCCTGTAACGGCCCAAAAGGCCTCCACGACGGCCCCAAGAAGGCCCCAAGGTGGCCCCAGAGGCCTCCAAGACGCCCAAGATGGCCTCCAAGACGGCCCTGAAACTCTCTAAGAGGGCTCAAGAGATCACCAAGACGCCTTCCGGCGGCGTCTAGGGGGCCAGGAGCGCCCTGTGACGGCCAATCAGGACCCCAAGAAGACCCCCAAGGCCCCCAAGAGGCCCAAGGAGGCCCCCCCTAAGAGGCCCCCAGGAGGCACTCAGAGTGCCCCAAACGGCTCCCATGAGGCTTCCTCCTCCTTCTCCTCCTCCTTCTTCCTCGCTCTAAGATGCAGAAGACGGCGGTCATACTGCCTAAGGCGACTACCAACACCCTTCTCCTCCTCCTCCTCCTCCTCCTCCTCCTCCTCCTCCTCCTCCTCCTTTTGCCCAACCTCCTCCTCCACCTCCACCTCCATCTCCACCTGCTCCTTCTCCTGCTCCTCCTCCTCATCCTTTTCCTCCTCCTCCTCCCTCATCCTCCTCCCTCCTCCCTTTTTGAGGTCAAGCTCGCAAACTATCAAACAAGACGAGTTCGCACGGAGCGTCCCGGATCGGTGGCACAGGCTGGAGGCCTCTACGATCGAGTAACGTCGTAATCGAGTCAGAGGGAAGCATCTTCCCTTAGATCCCTTCCCCGTCGGGGGTGGGGGGAGCGGGGGTGGGGCGGGGGTGAGGGGGTGGTCCCCGGGTGTGTGTGGGGGGGGTAGAGGGGGGGTCTCAGGGGTTGTGACCCGCCCGCCCCCGTGGGAAACCACCCCTCCCTTGGAGAAGCTTTCCCCTTCGATTCCTTGCATACCAGACGCCTCGGGCTCCCCCTTCAGGGTCTGCGGCACCGGCCGTAAGGCCTTCACAATGACCTCGGCGACTGAATGAGACGATAATTGATTGGGGCAATGTCGTGGACATAAGCAAGACCCCACGGAAGCTTCTCTTTGCACTTCTCGAGGAATGTCTGTAGAAGCAAGCTGAAGTCAAACTTTTAGGCCATCCTGCTGGCAACAGAGCGACGCTTGCTTTTGTTAACATGCCCTTGCGCACGCGAATACGCACGCACACCAGACAGCAGCAGTTTCGCATGCTCTCGTGTGCGTGTGGCATGCTCTGGACAGAATCTAAAGCGTGCGATGCGGGCTATCTAATGGATAGAAGTTGTTCCTGTGGGCAGCGTGGTCTCTTTCGGCACTGCCTGTTCACATGCACGCGCGAGGATGCAGTTTGTGTGCGCTCTGAGCGTGGATTCGATCAGGCCATCCTGCAGGAGGTGGCACACAATCAAGATCATGCGATCCCTTCTGATTTGCTCGTTTCGTGATGAAGATGTGCCCCCCCCCGTCGGTGAATGCCCATTGCACTGGCTTCGACGGTACAGGTCAGCAGTTGAACCGTCAGCCTGATGAGCTGACCAGCCTTGCAGGTGCTGCTGAGGAGCTCGAGGTGGCCGCCGACAGCTCGTGTACGAAGCAGGCCCTCCCCCGTCTCAACCGAGCGAGCAACGCAGTCGATCGCCTTCATGGAACCAGACACGACTTCGATGTTGCCTACAGTTCGGGGGGTCGTTCCTGGATCTCCCACTGCACCCTGCCATGCCTGAGCATGCTGCTGCGGCGTTGTTGTCTGGACAGGTAGCTGACCGACCCACGCAGCTCGCCTTAGATCGTAGGGCATTGATCTGTTCCACTCAGCAGCCAATGTGTGAGCAACTTGCTCCGAATTCAAAGTTCGCCGATGTTCTCAGACTTGCCCATTGATTACGTGGCAATGAGTTCCTTCCGACCTTCCGCATGAATTATCATCGAGAGTTGGAAGATCCAGAAACGCTTGAGTGTGAACATCAACGGCGTTTAGGGCTCGCCAGCCGTGTGGACGAACATGCGAAGAGGGCCCTCGAAGGCCACCCGCGTCCCGAACCGAATTCCACCAGGCCTTCAGGTCGTGTGGTTTAGGGAGTTTCCTTTTATATGTCCCTTCTTCCCTGTCGGGGAGTGATTCACCCCTCCCCCGGCCCCCTCCCCCTGGACAGGGGGTCGCGACGCGTTAGAACATCCAAGATGGCCTCGGCGAGGAAGCCCAAATCATCGATGTTACTAAGGTTTTGACCACGTGCTGGCCTCCTGGGGCGGTGCCGCTAATCGAGTACGACACGTCCTTTGATCGATCTCCTCCTAGATGGCCCCACGATGGTCCCCGAGGCTCCAAAGGGTGCCCCAAGAGAGCGCCAAGAGGCCCCCAGGAGGCCTCGAGAGGCCCCCAAGAAGCCCCCAAAAACGCTCCCAAGAGACCCCCAAGAGACCCCCAGAGGCCCCCAGAGGCACCCAAGACGCCCCGAGAGACCTCGGCGAGAAGGCCCGCTTCGCTACTGTTGACAAGGTTTTGGCCACGTGTTGCACCCCTGGAACCTCCCCCTTACTTGATCGATCTCCGCCAAGATGGCTCCAAGATGGCCCCCGAGGCTCCCAAGAGTGCCCCAAGAGGACCCCAAGAGGTACGAGGAGGCCCCAAGAGGCCCAGACGAGGCCCCCAAAATGCCCCAAAGAGGCCACAAGAGATCTCCAAGGGGGCCCCAAGAGGCCCCCAGGAGGCCACCAGGATGCCCCCACGAGGCCCCCAAGATGTCCCCAAGACGCGCCCAAGAGACCCCCAAGGAGGCCCCCGGAGGCCCCCAGAGGCACCCAATACGCCCCCCAGAGGCCTCGGCGAGAAGGCCTCTTGCGCACTCGGGATGCTGGCGCCGTGGGGGGGCCCTAATCAAGGAGCCCCCCTCCTTTGATCGATCTCCTCTGAAATGATCCCAAGATGGCCCCCGAGGCTCCCAAGTGTGCCCCAAGAGGGCCAAGAGGTACCGAGGAGGGAGGCCCCAAGAGGCCCTCAAGAGGCCCACACGATGCCCCCAAGAGGCTCCCAAGAGAACCCCCACGAGGCCATACGAGGCCCCCTCAGAGGCACCCAATACGCCCCAAGAGGCCCCCAGGACTGCAAAGGGACCCCCAAGACGCCCCAAGAGGACTTCAAGAAGCTCTCGAACGTCATCCGACGAGACTCCGAGAGGCATCCAAGAGGCCTCTGGCATTTCTGCTCGCCCTCCTCCTCTTCCTCCTCCTCCTCCTCCTCCTCCTCCAACTCCTATCAATTCCTCCAACTCCTCCAGCTCCTCTAACTCCTCCTCCTCCTCCTCCTCCTCCTCCTCCTCCTCCTCATCATCATCATCATCATCATCATCATCATCACCATCACCACCACCACCACCACCACCACCATCATCATCATCATCATCATCATCATCATCATCATCATCACCATCACCATCACCATCACCATCATCATCATCATCATCATCGTCATCATCATCAGCATCAGCATCAGCATCAGCATCATCATCATCAGCATCCTCATCATCATCATCAGCATCATCATCAGCAACAACAGCAGCAGCAACAGCAACAGCAACAGCGACGGCAACGGCAACAGCAACAGCAACATCATCATCATCATCATCATCATCATCATCATCATCATCATCAACAACAACAACAACATCATGATCAGCAGCATCAGCACCAGCATCAGCATCAGCATCCGCATCCGCATCAGCATCAGTAGCATCATCATCGTAATCAGCATCAGGGTCATCATCCTCATCATCATCATCAGCAGCATCATCATCAGCATCAGCATCATCTGCATCGTCATCATCATCAGCAGCAGCATCATCAACAACCTCGTCAGCATCGTTATCACCAGCCGCATCAGCATCATCAGCATCAACAGCATCATCAGCATCATCATGATCATGCACAGCATCAGCATCAACATCATCAATGCATCATCATCACCATCATCATCACCATCGTCATCATCATCATCATCAGCATCATCATCATCATCAGCATCATCTTCATCATCATCCGCCTGTTCCACCTTTCTCCTCCCTCCTCTCCCTCCTCTCCCTCCTCCTCCTCCTCCTCCTCCTGCTCCTCCTTCGATTCCTTCTCCATCCTCCCTCTCTTGGGATACGGCGTCTTGCGTACCCAGCCCGTTATTCCACTGCATGCTCGTCCACGTCCCTGATCAAGGCAGCTCGTCAGGGCATCGTTTCTGGATGGGCTGATGGGGTTACGCGAAGCGCCTACCATATCTTGCAACATGCTGAAATATCTGAGGAGAGAGCTGTCGCTTTTGTGAAGCTCGCAAGCGGGCTCCTCCCAATGTTCAAGAAAGAGATGCGGTGGAGGCACGCCCCCTGGTTTTCCCTCGCCAGGAGCAAGCAACGAAGATCCTGGCACCTCTGGCGCAGCTCTGAACTGGGCCTTCAATGCAGGCCGTGCTGGATGACAGCCGACACCACGCATTCTCCGATGGACGGCTGTAGGGGCGCGCCCGGGGCGCTTCAGAAGCTGCTGCGTGATCCCAGGGGCCACCTCCTTGTCGCCACGACGGGCGAGGCTCTTGAAACTGCTCGGGCTGTGGGAAGTGCTTGTCGGGAGAAGCAAAGTGTGTGATGAGACGGCTCCAGAGGTCCCCAAGAGAACTCCACGATGACCCAAGAGGGTTGCAAGACGGCTTCAGAGGCGCCCAAGACTGCCCACGAGGGCCCTAAGACAACCCCGAGAAGTGCCCAATAATGGGAGCACGAAGCAAGCATCCGATCCGTCTGCCCCAAGAGGCCCCCCAGCAGGCCCCCATGCCTTCTCGAAGACTTGACAGCCAGACTTCTGCGCTGGCACGGTGGCGGAATTGCTGGAGTCAGCTGGACAGTATACTCTGCAGATTAGGCATACCTGGATTTGTTAAACGCAGTCGCAAGTATGGGCATCAAAGATAAAGAGTCGGTGTGCAAGCTCAACTTAGCCCAAGAAACCAACATCTCCAAACTGCGATGCCGCGCTTATGCAATGGAACCTGCTTGCTCAGACACAGGCAGGCATGGAACGACCGCATACATGCATAATCATTCGCACATGTGCACACACACACGAGTGTTAACACGCGAAGGGAGCATGACAGGGAGTGCGGGAATGCGGCGAGCAGCGAGGACCAAGGTGAGGTTCTTTTGGTTCCTGTCAACCTCGTACTCTTTGAGGGTGCTCATGAGCATCTGCGCGAGCGGGAGATGCTCTCACCCTTCCCTGAGGACCGACGCTAAGCGTAACCCGTCAAGTCAGAAACAGAGAGAGAGAGAGAGGGAGAACGAGACAGAGGGAGAACGAGAAAGCGACGGCCCCAGAGCGAAACAAAAGAGCTGCAAAGCGGCTCCTTCTCCTCCTTCTCATCATCATCCATCGTAGTCCTCCTCCTCCTCCTCCTCCTCGTCATCACCATCACCACCACCACCACGACCAACATCACCATCACCATCACATCATCATCAGCATCATCAGCATCATCAGCAGCATCATCAGCATCATCACCACCATCACCACCAACAAACACATCATCGTCATCATCGTCGTCGTCGACGTCGTCGTCATGGTCATCGTAATCGTCATCGTCATCATCAGCATCATCATCAACGTCATCATCAGCATCCTCATTGCGGTCATCAACATCCTCAACCTCCTGAGCATCGTCCTCATCCTCATCCTCACCATCGTCATCATCAGCATCAACATCAGCATCAGCAACAGCAACAGCAGCATCAGCACCATCATCATCATCATCATCATCACCACCACCATCATCATCATCATCATCATCCTCATCCTCATCATCATCATCATCATCGTCCTCATCAGCATCATCACCACCACCATCACGATCATCATCAGCATCATCATCATCATCAGCAGCAGCAGTATCGTCGTCAAAATCATCATCGTCAGCATCATCATCACCACCACCACCATCATCATCACCATCAGCATTAGCAGCATCATCATCAAGAACATCATCGCCATCACCATCACTACCACCATCACCACCATCATCACCACCATCATCAGCATCAGCATCATCATCCTCATCACCATCACCATCACCATCATAATCATCATCATCATCATCATCATCATCATCATCATCATCATCAACATCATCATCAACATCAACAGCATCATCAACATCATCATCATCACCATCATCAACATGAGCATCAACAACCGCAGCGTCCCTTTCCGTTAGGGCGCACGCGAAAGAGATGTAAGAGTGTAGCGCAGTGCCATGGGGGGGCAGATGCATTGCAAGGGCGTGCCTCAAAAGTGCTGGCTGTTATTGCCGCTGACCCCCGAGGACAAACTAAGCCTCCCGAGAAGGGCAGCTGAAGCGTTGCCGTCCACCAGTTTCCACACGCTTCACCTCGCGATCTCGCGGCCGCCCGCCGACGAAGCAACGACGAGAGGCCCGCGGTGATCTCACGCGGGCGCCTCAGGCTAAGAGCACCTTGCCGTCGCTCGGACGTCCATTTCACGTGCATGCTTCGGCTTCGTACGTGGTTTGCTTGCTCGATGGTCCCGGACAGTCCTCGATGGTTCCCGACATGCAAACATGCACACGTCCGAGCGATGCCGAAACGCCTGGCAAACACTCCGCGCGACCCGACCTCCCGCTCCCTCTCCCGCGCCCCCGGGCCCTCGAGCCCGAGGAGCCCCGAAGCGCGCGGACCGCGTGCGCACCGACGCGGCCGCCCGACGCGGCCGCCGACGTGCGCAGCCGAACTCAGCCTCCGCAGGTTCCGTCTCGCCCGCTGCCTCCTCCTCCTGCTCCTGCTCCTGCTCCTCCTGCTCCTGCTCCTGCTCCTGCTCCTCCTCCTCCTCCTCTTCCTCCTCCAACTCCTCCTCCTCCTCCTCCTCCTCCGCCTGCTCCTGCTCCTGCTCTTGCTGCTGCTGCTGCTGCTGCTGCTGCTCCTGCTCCCGCTCCCGCTCCTGCTACTCCTCCTCCTCTTCCTCCTCCTCCTGCTCTTCCTCCTCCTCCTCCTTGCTAGCGGGCGAAGTCCACGGTTCGGAAAGCAAGATCTCTCCCAGCCTCGGCGTTCGGCTTCGGCGTTCCAAGATAGAGGGAACTGGGCCAGGAGCAGGAAGAGTGCGAGAAGGAGGAAGAGCGACGAACAACGGCCAACTCATCGTGACGATGTCGCGCGCGCTGATCATGATAGTCGAGCACGGCGAGGGGGGCCGCTGCCAACTCCCGACCACAAGGAGTACGGACAGCGCTGAATCACTGGGAGGGGGAACTTGCATACCTACGGGGGAGGAGGAGGAGGAGGAGGAGGAGGAGGAGGAGGAGGAGGAGGAAGAGGAGGAGGAGGAGGAGGAGGAAGAGGAGGAGGAGGAGGAGGTGCACTGCCCATTAAGGGTGCGGTGAGTGCGGTCGGAACTACAAGGGAAAGCGATATGTACTTATATAGAGAGAGAGAGAGAAAGAAAAAAAACCAATAGCCTGACGAACGACCCAACCATATGCAACTGCGAATACCGCATTGTGGGTACCGCTTTGGGTGAAACTCCTCATGGGGCCACGAACCGTGTGAGGGGCGTGCCAAATTGGGCGCGGTGGTGCCATGCGAACCCTCCCACTGGAGCCTTCGGTGGAGCATCCTTTGGGGCCACGAGACGTGCGAGAAGGTGTACCGAATTGGCTGCGGTGGTGCCATGCGAACGCTCCCACTGGAACCCTGGGCGGAACTCCCCATGGGGCCACGAACAATGTGAAGGGTGTACCAAATTGGGCGCGGTGGTGTCATGCGAACCCTCGCACTGGAGCCTTCGGTGGAACTCCCCATGAAGCTACGAACCGTGTGAGGGGTGTGCCGAATCGGGTTGCGGTGGTGCAATGCGAACCCTCACACTGGAGCCTTCGGTGGAGCTCCCTATGGGGCCACGAATCGTGTGAGGAATGTGATGGGCGGGGAAACGCATGCGGACACGGCCTCTGGGGCCTTCGTAAAGCTCCCAATGTGGCCACGAACCGTGTGAAAAATGCGCCGAAATGACGGTGAAACTGCATGCTAACCCTGCCAATTGGGCCTTCGGTGGGGCTCCCTATGGGGTCACGAACCGTGTGAGAGGTGCGCCGACATGAAAATGGAACGAACCCTGCCACTGAAACCTTCGATGGAACTCCCTATGGAACCACGAATCGTGTGGGGGGTGCGCCGAGACGAATATGGAACTAACTGCATGCGAACCCTGCCGCTGTGGCCTTCGGTGGAGCTCCCTATGGGGCCATGAACCGTGTGAGAAAAACACCGAACTAGGGGCGAAACCGCATGCGAACTCTGCCGCTGTAACCTTCGTTGGAACACCCTATGGGGCCACGAACCGTGTGAAAGGTGCGCCGAACTGAAGGTGAAACTGCATGCGAACCCTGCCACTTGGGCCTTCGACAGAGCTCCCTATGGGGCCACGAGCCGTGTGAAGGGTGCGCCGACATGAAGGTGGAACTGCATGCGAACCCTGTGAAGGGTGCGCCGACATGAAGGTGGAACTGCATGCTAACCCTGCCACTTGGGCCTTCGATGGGACTCCCCATGGGGCCACGAGCCCGGTAAGGGGTGCGCCGAAATGAAAATGAACCTGCACGAGAACCCTGCCACTGAAACATTCGGTGGGGCTACCTATGGGGCCACGGGCCAGGTGAGAAAAGCACCGAACTGGGGGGGGGGGGGGGGGGCGAAACTGCACGCGAACCCTGCCGCTGTGGCCTTCGGTGGAGCTCCCTATAGGGCCACGAACCGTGTGAGGGGTGCGCCGAAGTAAAGCTGAAACTGCATGCCACTGAAACATGCGGTGGAGCTCCCTATGGGACCACGAACCGTGTGAAGGGTGCGCCGACATGAAGGTGGAACTGCATGCGAACCCTGCCTCTGGGGCTTTCGGTGGAGCTCCCTATGGGGCCACGAACCGTGTGAAGGCGTGCAGGAATGGGCGGGGAACGATGACGATGATGGTGATGATGGCGGCCGTGATGGTGATGACGATGGTGATTACCATGACGGTGACGAGTTTGATGATGATGATGATGATGATGATGATGATGATGATGATGATGATGATTATAATGATGATGATGATGATGATGATGATGATGATGATGATGATGATGATGATGATGATGATGATGATGATGATGATGATGATGATGATGATGAGAATGATGATGATGATAATGATAATGATAATGATGTGATGATGATGATGATATGAATGATGATGATGATGATGATGAGGATTTGATGATGATGATGATGATGATGATGATGATGATGATGATGGTGGTGGTGTGTGTGGTGTGGTGAGATGTGATGATCCCCGCAGGTCTGCCGAAGAGATGCTGAATGACCCGTCGGCCTCAGGCGGTCTCTGGCGCGAAAGCTGGACAGCTGCGAATGACAAGGGGGGCCAATCTCCAGCACCGAAGCGTGGCACCCCCTCTCCCCCAAAAAATCAACATCCGCTTCCGCCTGGTGGGCTGCTCCTGCCGAGATCCCGAGAGACCGCGAGCCCTTCTCTTGCGAGCTCCTGGAGCCTCGGGCGCCGCGGGAAGCTTCAGGAGCTCAGCGCCGAAGAGAAGGAAGAGAGAGTCCTCCCCCCCGGAGGAGGAGGAGGAGAGGAGGAGGAGGAGGAGAGGAGGAGAGGAGGAGGAGGAGGGGAGGAGGAGGATGAGGAGGATGAAAGAGGAGGAGGAGGGAAAAAAAAAAAGGGGAGGAGGAGGAGGAGGAGTAGGAGGAGGGGAGGAGAGGAGGAGGAGGAGGACCCCCCCCCCGGGCTGCCCAGGGCCCCCCCGCGCCCGCGCCCCGCTGGCGCTCCGCCCGGGAGGCGCCCGAGGCCCGCCTTCGGCCTCCGCCTGGCACGAGGCGCGCTGGCCCGGCGCGCTTCGGCACGCGGCCCCCGGGCCCGCAGGCGGAGGCGAAGAGGAGGTCGCAGAGGCTCGGCGCAGGGCATTGGCGCCGACGCGAAGAATAAGAAGAAGAAGAAGAAGAAGAAGAAGAAGAAGAAAAGGAAAACGAAGAAGAAGAAGGAAAATAAGAGAACGAAGAAAACGAGGAAGAAGAAGAAGAAGAAGAAGAAGAAGAAGAAGGGCGGCCCGCCGGGCCCCTCCTGGGCTCTCCCGCCCTCGTTTCGGGATCTCCAACCCCTGGCTGGGCTCTCTGGCCCTTCATCT